CATACACAACTATTGCAATATTACTATCACCTTACTTATATATATATATATATATATATATATATATGAAACTGTCAAGGGTACCTGGCTATGCCGGGCTTAACATGTGATAAATGAAGTCGTGGGCGTTCGTTCGAAGCAAAAGTACCCATGCTACGCACAGCATTAAACGTCAACTTCGTGTGTTGTCAGTTTCATGTATTTTGCTCCAGACCTCCTCGTTCAGTTGAGTCCTCATTCGCGGCATTAAAGCGATAAAATTTAAATAGCTGCCAAACTCGAACTGTTCCTCTGATTACTTATCTATTTAAATTAGATATCTGGAGTGTCCTCCTGAGTTTCTTTACCAAATTTTATGGAAATTTGTTCAGCTTCTACTTCACAATCATTTGTGACACTAGAAAGAAGGACAGCTTTGCTTTATATATAGAGAGATTTGAAAAGTTACATATTAGCTGGGCACTTGACTTCAGTGGTATTGTTGGCGAACACCCAACCACAGCTTCTTGGAGATGCATAAGTGGAATGACCAACTTTAGCCAGATCGACATTCGTAGGTCCACATAATTGCTGGTGGATCATTTTGTTTTTCATATTACAATTTTTAAGTACCTTAATCGTCATTTGTTTATTAATCGAACAAAGTAAAATTAGATGATTTGTTTAAAGGACACTGGAGACTGTCCATCTGATGCTTTATTATGTCTGACCCTGTACTTCGCTGAAGATTATTAAAAAAATCATACAATGCAATCACATTTGGATTAATACTGCAAGAGATTCAAAGGCACGTTGTTTTTTTTGGGGGGGATTATATTTGGGTCCAACTTTCTGAACAGAAGATCAGCTTAAATACAACCTGGTCTGATTTTGTTAAATATAATGCAAACAATTTTGATTAATTCAGAAAATGTGAATTAAAGGAACTCCTGGTGTATGATACATGAAGCTTTTGTAGTTTAACTCTTTGTACTTAATCCCAATCCCAATAGTACAATTAGGCAGAGTAATGATATAAATGCTCCGTGACTGGGATCACATATAAACACAGAGCAAAAAAAACGCGAACTTAATTCCCTAATGTGTTCCACCGAGCAAAATTAATTTTAGGACATTATAAACTATGGATTTATAAATACGTAAATAAACTATGATCGCAAAAACGTTACTCCTGATTTATTTTTACTAAACAATTCATTAATATGCGTATTTTTTCAGATGCGAAGCCGTGTCGTATATATATATCTACAGATAAATTAGCAACAAGCATGGATTTAGTTGAGTTGTATGTAAAATTATGCGTTCGATCTACAGACACATTTAAACGGCAGAATAATGACTGTAGAAAAATAAATGTTTTCAGAATGACGTCACGACACCAGTGATCTTGTTGTTTCGTCTGGCGTCTGTCTGCCATATCGAACGGCAGCGCACAGTGCAGAAAACTGGAAAATATCTTTCCACTGTTGCGCTTGTGGCTGCACCATCAGACAGGGTTTAGAATTGGGTATATGTTTTTACAGGGTTTCAACTGACTCCAAAAGAAAATAAATATGGATTACTAGAGTTATGACATACAATTGGCAACCTACGCAGTATTCCCGTATGTATAGTGAGTATTTTGTGAAATATATCAAAATAAATTTGTTAAGTAACATTTGTATAAATTTAAACGTTGTCATTAAATATGTGTATAAATATCATACTATTTATTAACTATTTAAACTATTGATATTTGATAAGGAACCGATATCATTTCTAGCGGCACTAAAGAGTAATGTATACAATTGTAAGGATATACGTACTTTACTAGATCGCGCAGGGGCAGAAACGCAACTAGGCACTGGCGCACGTGACTCGTGCTCGGATTCTATTTGACAGCGCCTCGAATCCCCAGTTGTTGTCTTGAATCATACCTAGCGACGCCTCTGGGCAAGGATCAGTCCGAGACACTACTGTAGCCAGAGAGGCGAACAGGTAACATCACAATGAATAACTAAACATACTGTTAATACTCGATAATGGTGACAACAAGTGTCATGCCCATAGTAACACAAATTTTAGCTTTCATGTCCAACACACATCCTGCTAAGAAGAATTTATAAGTATTCAAGTTCAAGTTCATATAGTGCTTGTAGTTAACTTATTGGTAGATTCGACAAGATACACATAAATATCTGAATATTTTAACTTCGTATCATGATTGGACGAGTTATCGATATGAATTGTCGTCCACGCCACCTGTGGAATACTTTATGGATCGAAAAGAACAAAATCGTCCATGTAAAGATCCTCAGCTTACTTTCATAAGCCATTTTGTCATACTTTCCAAGATTCAGAGCCGTATTCTCTCAGCTTTATCGCTGGTCCAATGCTAGAAATGGGCCGGTATGCAGTACTGACACTTCTGTATTCCAAAGAATTGGGTGCCAACACTTCTCATCATAGCCATAAATATGTATCTAAAGGCGTATCGCCTCTTTTTACATTTCCCCCCTTTTATGTGTACCTTTTTTTCTTACCATTTCAAGCACTGCCATAGTCACAAAACGTTGAACGGATTGGCGTCCAAAATGGCGGATACTAATGTTGTGGTTCTCGTAAATCGCATGATCTGGAAAGGTCTGTTAGTCGTCTGAAACTGGAACCTAATGTGTACTCCGGATTGTTCTATCACAACAGTAGGAGACATTGATGTGAATTAATTGGACTATAACATATAACCAAGAAGGTTAGAAAAAATTAAAACAGCCTGCTATGGCTGTGATGTTGCTTAGAAACATTTTTTCAATTCTAATAAGTCCGATAGTATTAATATTTGTATCTAACAAATAAATATTTTTGTATCGTGCAGATTTCTGTAACTCCCAAGTTTCCAGCCCTATTGCCTTCGACGTAAGAGCTACTCGATCTCCCGACATCCGTGAGCCGAAATGTCCGCCGATTTACGCTAGTTTATCGTTGCAGAATTTCTCTCATTCTTACTCTCCGTCACATATCTCCGCACATAGTACCCACCAAATCCTTCAAGGAAGCCCGCCGCATGCTGCTAAGGGAGATTCGCCAGATTTATCGTGTGTTGTATGTGGAGACAGTTCAAATGGGAAACACTACGGAATTATGGCGTGCAATGGATGCAGTGGATTTTTTAAACGGAGTGTCCGCCGGAAACTAATTTACAGGTATAGTATTCCCGGAGCGTGCCACAACTTGACGTTCACTTAAGGTTAGCTTACATATTTACTTATGTATATTATATAGAATGTACAAACCGTATCAACACGCACACATACATCATACATCGTACTGTGTATAAATAAACGTGTTTCCTAGCGACATGATGTCTCTTAATTATCGCACCCACTCGGTGGTTCAGCGGTAAGCTTGGGAACCTCTAACGCTAAAATTCGAGGTTCGATCCCTGTGGTGAACGCAGCCCAGGTAGCCACTTGTGTAGCTTTACGCTTAATAACGCAATTATCGCATCCATCACAAACTCTTTGTCCCCACAATGGACTATCTGGATCAAACCCCTAATTTTAGTGTTATAAGTCCGCATACATGCCGCTGTGCCACTGGGGGGGAGGCGCTATGCTGCTTTGGGGAAACATAAATTTTAGAGTTCAAAACGTGAACTTTTTTGTTTTCATAGGTAACTAAGCAAAACAAGAGGGAACCCTCAATAGCCATGGCTATAATTAAATCTCAAATCGGTCACGATATGGAACTATGAGCTAAATGTTTGCATTTGGAAAAAAACAACAACAACAACGGAGCCATTCTATGAGCCACTGTGCCGTGGCTAAAAATGCTTGTTCGTAAGTCAGTTTGGAACATTAAACGTTATACACTGTTTTGTAGCAAGTATTTGTAAATTCACTAAAGAATGTAATCCGTGCTATGCGATCAAGATTTATCCCTTTGAGACTTATGTTATATTAACACGTTCGCAGCGTAATTGATTTCTCTAATTATGCAATAGGAACTTTTATGCAGATTCATTTCCGAAAAACACAATTCCTCTTTTATCACTTTTTTATTACTTTATCACTCCTTAGAACAAGACTTAAATGTTTAAAAATATAAAAAAAAATGTTGAATAATAATTGTAGATGAACCCCGATAGAGTGGTGCTTTTAAATCTAATTATTACAGTTTTAGGCATAATAAAGTATTTTATTACAGTTGCTGCTTTCACAATAGTAGGCAGTTGCATTACTTATAATTAACGTTGGTTGTATTTTACATACATTCCACCAGGTGTCAGACCAGTTCCGGAAGGTGTGTTATGGACAAGGCTCACAGGAACCAATGCCAAGCCTGTAGGCTGAAGAAATGTTTACAGATGGGAATGAACATAGATGGTAGGTGGCGTTCGTATCAGATCTGTTGCCTTGAACAAAGTAACACAGCAATTCATACGAAGTAACTAATTCTAAAGAATATAAAATCAAATAACAGTTCAATATGACATGTCAACATATTCTAAATTATGATCACTTTTATTATAATTACGTACAGGAAGTGTCCTTTGTATATGAATCTTATAGAGTAATTTTTTCTTTTTCTGTTTTTGACACAAGCACATAAAAACATCTGTCTATCAAAAATGTATCTTATGAAACCTAATTATGAGAGAAAGGGGATTAGTTTTAAGTGTTCATCAACTGTGTGTTACTCAAAGTTTTCACTTGTTTTACCAAGAATGGTAACTTATTGCATCTTCAATATTTTTCACAGAGTTCATCTGTACTGTGGAAGATTTGTTTGCAACTAAGCCGTAATCAATGCTTTTGTTTGTAATTAAGCATTACCACTATGCCACTGTTTGTTTGTTTCTTTGTTTTGAATTTCGCGCAAAGCTATACGAGGGCTATCTGCGCTAGACGTCCCTAATTTAGCAGTGTAAGACTAGAGAGAATGCAGCTAGTCATTACCACCCACTGCCAACATTATAGGGCGAGCATGTTTGGTGGGACGGGGATTCGAACCCGCGACCTGCACCTGGCCACCCACTAAGAGAAAATGTTAATACAAGGACAATAGTTGAAACATTGAACCTTGAGCATATTACTTATCTTATTATATACCATTTTCCGTTTCAGCTGTCTTGATTATACAACTGATTATATAATAAAATTCCCCCTTTTTTAAATCTCTCTAGCATTTAGTATGTCGGATTCTCTTACTACTTATTTTACCCCCATTTTTAAGAGGTTCAACGTTTGCTCATCTTTTGTAGCCTTCGAAACTGATGGCAAGTCCATATTTTTGTCTGTTCTGTTACTGTTTTATTTTGTGTTGAAACTATAAGGTATATTATTAACATATTTTATTTTTACGTGAACACCGTGTTACTTTTTTTTGTCTTCATTGTTGCTGGTGTCACAGCGGTACAAAATGAAAGACAGCCACGCAGTACAGCCATTATCTACCCTGAGACCCTCGTAGAGATGGACAGTGAACGTTTATTCAGGGAGGGACTGGTGGCCACGGTCGGGATGGGGATTTTCCCTCCTGTCATGACTACCTCCCTTTCCAGCTCGGGCACGGCCTCAAGTTCAGTATTTGGTGGGTGTCGTAAACTTGAAGGTGATAAAGGAAAAAACGGTAACGAATCTGTTTATACTACCCTTTATTATTTACATATAACTAAAATATGTTTGTTTACAGATAAGCATTCTGTGGAACAATTCTACGTCACAAAATGAACTTGTTAAAAGTGACATTGGGTCGTAAAATATGAAACCGTACAGCAAACCAAAGAATGTTAAAAGTAGCTTTATTTATCAGTAGTGTCTTGACGAATTACACGAATACGGAAGACGCTATCTGCGTTCCATCTAACGTTCTCGCTTAGAGCCTGAGAAACATAAAGGTTTCTATTCATTATGTCACTTGCGTTTTTACCCAGAACACAATATTCGAAACAATTATTATGAGTTGTTAGAAAACAACTATCCTAGAGTATTGTCCAATTAACAACTTTTATTGATTAAAATTATAAATAATTCGATTACACCAGAACTTAGGTTAAAGCTTAATGTCCGCATTCTGATTACTCAGTTCAATTACACCCGAGTTTTGTTTATGACTTAGAGTCAACATTCTGATTACTCAGTTCAATTACACCAGAGTTTTGTTTATGACTTAGAGTCAACATTCTGATTACTCAGTTCAATTACACCAGAGTTTTGTTTATGACTTAGAGTCAATATTCTGATTACTCAGTTCAATTACACCAGAGTTTTGTTTATGACTTGAGTCAACATTCTGATTACTCAGTTCAATTACACCAGAGTTTTGTTTATGACTTAGAGTCAATATTCTGATTACTCAGTTCAATTACACCAGAGTTTTGTTTATGACTTGAGTCAACATTCTGAATACTCAGTTAAATTATACCAGAATTTCAAGTAGTAAATATGTGTGATGTTCCTCGGTGGGACAGCGGTAAGTTTTCGGACTTGCTAAAATCTGGGGTTTGATTCCAAGCGACGGACACAGCAGATAACGCAACCAACTTTGTTCTAAAACAAACAAAACACCTCTTGACATGGTATAGTCGCACTGACAGTTTTAACTTTTCACGTTTACACGAGAAAAATAGTGTAAAATAACAAATACTCCTTTGATTTCCAGTCTGTGAGTTATGCACGTGTCTTGATGTGTCGTAATGTAGCTTTGTATTGTTGTTGTTGTTGTTTGTTATTAAGCACAAAGCTACACAAAGGGCTAGCTGTGCTCTGCCCACCACGGGTATCGAAACCCGGTTTATTGCAGTATAAGTCCGCAGATATACCACTGTGCTACTGGGGGAGGGGCAACTTTATATCATAGAACTTTTATGATATTATTTGTCTCGTTTGTTATAGTGCGAAGTTAAACAAAGAGTTATCTATGTACACCACTCCGGATTTTAGCTTTGTAAGTTTGTAAACTTACCGCTGACTCACTATTTTTTCTAGACATAACTCGAAATTCATTTTTTTAGCAAGACTGCGGCTGTATTTTAGTCTGCTGAGTTATTACGGTGTGAAAAAAAAAAGGTTTTTAACTTTGTACATTTTTTTTCAAAAGAAAAATTAAATGCATTTTTGTAACATTATCAAAAACATTTACTATTTTTCTAATACAGCATTTAACAACTAGAATGCTTATTCGGTGACGAGGAACCCACTTTGAGATTAATAATGGCTGGAGGCGGCTTGAATGGGTAATGAAGAAAAATTTTAATATAAGTTGGTACCTGATGATGACAAAACCTTGTTGAAACGTTGTACATATATTTGTTATGTTAAACTTATATTAAAGTTTTCTTCATTACCCATCCAAGCCGTCTCCAGCCATAACTAGAATGCTTGCTTTCTTAAGTGGAAGAAAATTCATTAAAAACATACCAATATTTTCACGTGTTTTTATATGAATATGTACGTTGTAAAAGCGACAGTACTTGTGTTGAATGGTGAAATTTAAATACCATGTGCATTACACCGTAAAAAAGTTTTCGTTGTACACGGATACCGTAAAAATACCGAATTTTGTAAGGCCGGTTTTTTTTTGTGTGTGCGCGTAATGACAGCGCCAACATAAGCCCAATTTTATTTTTGTAGCTATTTGTTTGCTTGTTTTGAATTTCGCGCAAAGCTACACGAGGGCTATCTGCGCTAGCCGTCCCTAATTTTACAGTGTAAGACTAGAGGGAAGGCAGCTAGTCATCACCACCCACCGCCAACTCTTGGGCTACTCTTTTACCAACGAATAGTGGGATTGACCGTCACTTTATAACGCCCCCACGGCTGAAAGGGCGAGCATGTTTGGTGGGACGGGGATTCGAACTCGCGACCCACAGATTGCGAGTCGAGTGCCCTAACCACCTGGCCATGCCGGGCCTCTTGTTTGTTTGTAGTTAAGCACAAAGCTATACAATGGGTTATCTGTGCTGTGTCCAACACGGATATCGAAACCCGGTTTCTAGCGTTGTAAGTCCGCAGACATATCGCTGTGCCACTGGGGGGGGGGGGGCGTTTATAAAGTAAGTGTTTACTATAATAAGAAGTTCAAAATATTAAAGTTCGACTTAAATATATGGTAAGAAATAATTGTGTGCATCGTTTAAAACGTAAATCCGTTCTTCAGAGTCCTCTGGGGATAGTTTTGTAAATAAACGTTTTAATCTATAAGAAATATATATATATATATAAGTTACTTTAGCTCAGAAAACATCGTTCTGTGTTCTTGATAAAGGTTAGTATTATTTTAAAGACCCGATTGTAATTATTATAAGAATAAAAAGAAAGATTGAAGTAGCATTTCTGTTGACACATAGCAATAAAGGTGATTCAAATTTACTCGAAATTCGTGAATAATTTTTTTAAGTATATTAATACGTGACAAAAGTCACTAAACACGACATTGATATTTTCAGGTGAACGTTTCGCAGATAGCTATAGAAGAGACCCAATCAAACCCAGTAATCTCACCGTTGCCTTAGTAACGTCAGCAATGCCCTCATTTAGCAACGTTCCACTTTATACCTGTCCAACTACTCGTCAGGAAACGATTTATGAGACTTCGGCACGTTTGCTTTTTGTAGCAATCAAGTGGGCCAAAAACCTTCCTTCATTTGTTAACATACCGTTTAGAGATCAGGTAAAGTTTTCTTTGAAAACAAAAATTAAAAAAAATCCACGCTTCAAGTGTTAGCTAATTTTATTTCATGCGTGTATACGTAGTATTTTTAAAATTCAATTCTGAAGCATAGCTAAAACTGTTCACATTTTTTAGTTTCTGGTATTTTCCTCAGTAATTGTTTAAATATTTTCAGTATTTAACAAAATTTAATAATTGCTTTTGCATGACGTAGTGATGTTTGTAGGCTTAATGGTTATACAGTTCATATACTGACGTGTGCATTTTCTTACTTTTGAAGTGATAAACCAGGGGAAAAACAGCCAGTCAACAGCACCCACTGCCATATCATGGGCTTATCGAATAGTATAATTTAACAGCCACTCTTATAACACACTCACAGTCCAAAGTACTGATAGTAAAAGTGTGGAACGCTTACCATGAAACCTCAGGTCCACAGTCTGGCACGTTTATCACTGAGCCACGCCTGGTTTGTAAGATAAATATACACGTTTGATTCAGTATAAATAAGATTTATATGTATCTATTTTTTTATCAAACGCTTATTTGTAAAGAACATATATAAAAGCAGCAGAATAAAGCTCAAATAATTATGTTAGAAAATAAAACATTACATCTTATTGTCAGCGCCCCCCAATGGCACAGCGATATGTCTGCGGACTTACAACGCTATAAAGCGGGTTTCAATACCAGTGGTGGGCAGAGCACAGGTAGCCCATTGTGCAGCTTTGTACTTAGCAACAAATAAACAATAATATAAACTTATTGTCAACAATATACGACGCAACGTTTTACCACAATTAACGTTGCATCACCTCGTGCATCACATAATCGTTTCGCTTTAGTTTTGTTGTTAAGCGCAAAGATTCACAATGGGTTATCTGTACTGTGACAACCAAGGGTATTGAAATCCGGTTTCTAGCGTTATAAGACTTCAAACTTGCCTCAGAGTCACTCGGGAGTATATTCGTTTTAAAATGTTATTTAGAAATAGTTTCCAAGATGTTCAGGAGATGACGTTGGACTCCCATCTTCATGCTATTATTAGTAAATAAATATAATTAGATGAGTAATGTAGGCCACCATATAGGGGAAGAACTTCCCTTTGAGGTTAGACTTCCCACTCTTCTGGAAAAAAATATTAGGTTGTCACGAAATTAATAGCGCTTTTTTACAGTTGAAAAAACCCGAACA